GGTTCCTACTACAAATTTCCGCGTACCACTTAGATACGTACGGAGGAAGATTGGACCAGTAATCCGCTAGTTTAGGTCGTCTGTCAATTCCCATTGCAAAAATAATAGCCAAAAACCCCTTTATATCTTTAACAGTGACTGGTTTCCAGATCTTCAGATATTTGGGAACATTTCCCCCATAGCCATTTATGACTTGCTTGGCATACCTATTAGTTTCTGTCACCATAAGAGAAAGCAAAGTAAAAGTGAAAAAAAGGTGAAAATACTCTACAGGATGAGAATCAGGAGGAGGCATATGTTTGGGGCCAGATAGTTCATTGAAAGGGAAAGTAGCAGGTAGAGATTGTTCTGGTGGCAGAACTTCAACGTACACCTCATCTTCCAACTCGTCATCAGAAAGCTGAAAGGAGGAGGGTCCAATATATGCCATGGACGGTGCGGCAGACGTGGACGGTGCGGCAGACATGGACGGTGCGGCAGAGGTGGACGGTGCAGCGAACGTGAACGGTGCGGCAGAGGTGGACGGTGCGGCGAATGCGGACGGTGCGGCAGAGGTGGACGGTGCAGCGAACGTGAACGGTGCGGCGAATGCGGACGGTGCGGCAGAGGTGGACGGTGCGGCGAATGTGGACGGTGCGGCAGACATGGACGGTGCAGCAGAGGTGGACGGTGCAGCGAACGTGAACGGTGCGACAGAGGTGGACGGTGCGGCAGATGTCAAGGTTGCAGGCTCCTCCTCTTCATCATAGTCCGAGTAGAGATCCCTGTACTCTGGAAACTCAACGCTACTTTGACTGTCATTGTCAGAAGATTCAATATCTGAGTCTGACAACTCGTCAAAGTAGGTTGAGACTTCCATTTCTTTGATTTTTTTACTTGAAGACATTTTAAAATCTAATTTGAAATAAAAGATACATGTTACAATTGAGAATAAGAGTAAAAAAAAAATTAAATAAAAACTCAACACATTATTAATTCCAGCAATTATTTAATAAGATGATAACATTTGACTGTTTTAAACAGCCATCATCAGTTAAACAATTTCAAATTAAAAGAATGCTAAAAATAGAATACAAGCTTTTAGAAACTCAAATTCCAACGTAAAGCGCAGTCGCATAGTAGAAACATACAAAAATTGCACATACGATTCATATAGGAATAAAACTAAAAAATAAACATAATCGAATTTTTGCCACAATAATAAACCATGCCCATTACCAGATTACTATTATGTGTTATGGTAAAATGATTTCCATGCATTGGATAAACCATCCGCATCTCTATGGTTAAGCGGATCCTGCTTATAAAGTTCATCCTCCATAAGAATAAGTTCATGTAATAAGGCATAATAACATCGTCTAGAAGTCCTGATAGCTTTGTTGAGTCAAAGATATTTCAGCCTTGGCAATAAAGATTCACAGCCTACAAGGAGACGTATCTGATAAATGGAATTTGGGAAAACACCATTTAGGTGGCATTGTGAAAGGAATTCAAACTTTCCTCTTGCTTTGTAAAGCTTAGTAACAATTCTTCTATAAATCTTGGCCGGTGTAACCATTAAAAATGTAAGTTTTATTGCTTAATGCTTAAGTTTAATGCTGAGTTTCTAAAAGCTTGTATTCTTTCTATTTTTAGCATTCTTTTAATTTGAAAAAATTAAGAAAATTAAAATAATAATACTGTAGTAATATAAAAAATAAGAGTAGAATATTAAATATAAACAAGTCTATATTATTTATATAATATCGTAGAAAATGAAATTGCATATTTTATCATAACAATTTAACTATTAAATTGTTAATATAAATTGTTTCAATATTGTTTACTGCATTTGGTTATCAATTTATATATGTAATATTTATAAATAGAAATTTATAATACACATATACAAAATATGATAATAATTATTACATGTACTGTAATATATGGACTTTATTTTGAAAATGGTATAAGTTTGTTTATTTTACTTTTCTTTCAAAATATTTAAAGGTTGCATTCTAGTCGATTTAAAAATACAAATAAAGTCTATTAAATTTGGCAATGTTTCTATGATTTTAGAAATATATAAGTTGATTACATAAATGGTCTGGCTTTTTTGAAAAAAGGCAGTCAAGTATTATAAATTTTATGCCAGAAATGGATCAGGAAATAATGAATAGAGATCAGAGGGTATTGAATCTGCCAATGCAGGCTTTAGAAATAGTAAATATCATAAACAAATTAAAAGAAACCACTGCTACTGGACCTGATTCATTTCTAGTCAGTTTATTAAAACGACTACCATCTGAAACAGCTGATATATTAGCACTCAACTTTAAATTATATGTTTAGAAATAGCACACATATCCTGGATCATGGTGCTCATCATATTTCCACATGATATTTAAATAAAAAGCAATGGCTCAAATCCTAGCAATTATAGACCTATTGCTATACTATCATCATTAAGAAAGATTTTTACAACAATCCTTGCAAAAAGATTTAATTGGACAGAAGTAAATTTTTTGATTCATGACATTAATAAACAATTTGATAAAGAAGACAGAATATTGATAGAAAATCAGGTAATAGACTCAATCCAATATGCAGACAATATTGTACTAATCTCGAGCACTAAAATTGGTCTCCAGAAGAAAATTAATTTAATGAAGAAGTACTGTTTACAACTCGGATTAAAAATTAATCCAAATAAAACTTTTATTCAGGTATTCCAAAGAATTTGCCTATGTAAGGGATGATCAAAGATTAGAGGTCAATTAGGCATTTCTACCTTGTCTGAAAGCAAATCAATCAAGAATTTTTATAAGCTATTTTGAATGAGTCTTACCATGATAATTAGGCTATACAATTTTTTCAATAAATATATTAAAATGTCTGAGCAGGTTAACAATAATATAGAAAATGAGTTATAAAATTGATTGTTAAAAATTGTAAATTAGGAATAATATATATTGTTACAATTAATCAACCATTGTTCTAACTATTGTACTTCCTTGTAATGGGTTATTCCTATAATACATTAATGAAGATCATTAATATAATATTAATTTCAATGAAATTTATGTAAATATATTTATTGCATTAAGAATCATGCTAACATTGTATGAAATTCATAAATTCATCAAACATATAATTTAATATAGTATTGAAAATAAAAAAAATACTTATTAAAATTAAAAGTTACTTAAAAAATAATTTATTAATTACTATTAGAATTTCATTTAAAACTTTTATTTCAAAATAATTATTTTAAGCAAATATATATTTTAAAAGATTACTCAAATATTTTAAGAATTAAATAATATATTACTTTATGGTTAAATGCAAATCATTCAATTACTAAAAATTACAAGAGAAAATCATAGCAGATAAGTTTTAATCATATTCAATATATTTCTTCTTAAAAAAACAAGTATCATAAATTTTAACTTATTAAATATACTCTTGTTATTTGAGTTTTAGTTGAAAAATATAAAAATAAAAAACTGCATTGTATAATAAATATAGATATAATAATTATAAAATAATAAATTTTAAAATATTTGAACAATTTATGATTCGTATTTATAATTTTCAGTTCTTACTGTGAAATTAATTTATAAATGAGATTTGAAGCTGATTATGATAAGTTTTCAGTATGCAATTTGACTTGTATGGAATGAACTTTTTAAATTCTTAGGCTATTTATAATGTTTAGACTTGCTATATTTGTAAGTAAATGTTTTGATTTACAATTGAACATATTTTTACTTTTTTTAAATAGAGAGAACAATGCTTTTTTTCTATCTGAGAAAAGCTAAAAGAATTGCTTGTACATTACTCAAAGTGTTAATATTTTGAAAGTGAATAAATGATGACAACTTCTGAAGCAGAATATTGTTTATTCTTATTATTATCAAAAAAATTGCTCTGTTCATTTAAATTAGTATATTTTAGCAAAAAATACTCAAAGTGTGTAATTAATGACTCATCATCTTTTTTTATAATTTGAAAAATATAATTGAAATTAAAAAGTATTTAATCAGTTTAAGACAGATTATAATAATCAGGTAAATTTTTATTTTCTAAGTTTTTGATGATATTTTATTTAGGTTTAGCTCCAATCTGAAATGAACAACGAAAATGAATTAATTATAAATAGCAGTACAGCAGGAGAAGACTGAATTAGGTTATGCACTTATACAAAAACTGTTACTAGCCTACACTATTTATAAAAATTAATATTAAATTTCATATCATCATTCTGTTTCATTATCATTAGCAATTGTAAAATTCTTAATTTGTTTTTCCTATATACTAATGGTGTAAAACAGGGGTGTCCAGCCCGCGGGCCGCATGCGGCCCATGTAAACATGTAAACAAAACTGACAAATGTTTTAATTTTTTTATTATTTATTTATTTCAACGGCGTAAACTCAAAAAGACGTTTCACAAAGCCGTAAACCTTCATTTATATTTTATTTTTGAGCGGAAAGGAAATATTTTCAAATATTTAGAGATGTGTGAATGAGGAAGGATTAATAAATAAAGCTGGAGTTATGACTCAAAGGATTATAGACCCAAATTTGGGAAAAAGAGGAAAAGGTGAGAAAGGACAAAAGATAAAAAGTAGTGACTTTTTATCTTTTGTTAATATAGATCTGTTATGCAAATATGACCCTTAATTTTCCAACCTTTCTTACATCTTTATCTTTTGTCCTTTTTCTCCTTTCCCCTCATTTGGGCCTATAATCCTTTGAATCACAACTCCAGCTTTATTTAGTATTTCTTCCAACGCTGCAAGATTTGGCTACATTTGCGCCAAATGTGGCTACTTTTTTTGTTTGACGTAAAAAATACTCGAAAAAAATAAATGAATTTGTATATATTCTTAGTAAAAATTGAAAGTGTCTATAAAAGTAATTTTTAAAAATATTCTTTTTCGTGATAAAGTTTTAATATTTATTATTATAATCTACACATGTTAATCCTTAAATATACTTGTATATTGGGCCACAAGTATATATTATATAAACTTGTGGCCCAAATCTCCTTGACTTCTTCCAATGCGGCCCAGAGAAACAAAAAGGTTGGACACCCCTGGTGTAAAAATTGTAAGTACTGAAAATACTGGCAGTCAATTACAATGTGTTTTTGAAATTTGCTTGCTGAGCATATGTTGGATTACTTTAGACCAAACTTTTTCAGCTTTAAGTGTTATAGGTAAATATATGTTGTATTTTTTTCTTACAAAAAGAAATTATCTTTTATAAGTTATATTTTATCTCAATAAGAAAATCTAGTCAACTACCTGGATTATATAAAAAAGTTCTGCTCTATTCATTCAAGCTACATATTCTGTTCACACCTTCTTTTTTGTTAAGGTAGGAAAATCATTCATTTTAAATACAGTATATCAAAATACCAAAATCTTGAATATAATATCAATAGTAACTTTTTTTATTGGCAGGCTTCTGCTTTCATATTTATTTCTAAAACATTATGAAGGAAGTGCTAAAAAGTTCAATTGGGTATAATAATATTTACATTGAATATAAAGGTAAGTTTTGATTTACTTCTCTCTATAAATTTATTTATTTATTTATTTAATACAATTGGAAATATCAGAAGACAATTATAAATATTATGGAAAATATAGATACAAATTAAATATAAGCTGTATTTCAAACTGTGATTGTTTGTATATAATTTAGGATCATTTATTTCCACTGTTTTACAATGGATAACAAATGTCATTGTAAATGAACCATACAATTAAAATTTAATTAAAATTGTATATTTGTTTTTTTAATTAAAATATTTAGTTTGACAATTCCAAAAACTCTTACTCCAGGCAATACTTCCCATATATTTACTAAAGTCATTATAATACTACAAAATAACACAATAAAAACATGTCTTTTGTTTGAAAGTTGTTTAGGAATCTGTTGCTGAACTTTTTAAAAAGTCCTTCAGCCTGAATAACTTTTGATTGAGAGTTGAATTAAATTACAATTTTTTTTGTGGTTTTAGGCCCTTTACCAATCAGAGAGCACAAAAAGGCCAAAGAATGTTATAAAGACAAGGGTGTCTGTGTTGGTTAGTAGATGGAGTCCCAAGATGGGCTCATAAGAAAAGCTAGTCCTTTGTGAAGGCTCATAATATTATGTATATGTTATGTTTCAAATTTTATTCTGCATATTGTGTTATTTTAACTTACCAGTGTTTTTTTGATAAAATAAGAGGAAAATAAATTCATAGAAAAGTTGCAGTTTGCATTGCATAACCAACCAGACCTAACCAATTTTTCTGGGTCACTCAAAACTGCTGAAGAAAAGAAAGCAGCAGTGAGCAATCCATAAAAATTTCCAGCAAATATAGAATAAGAATTTTTATAGGATAAAAGTACTACACCCCATAGGGGTAGAAAATCAGTAGCCTTCCAGGAGGACTTTAGAGGGAGTTGGCTCGCATTTGGGAGAAAAGGTGGAGGAAACCCAAAAAACTCCACCTGACCAGCTAGGGAAAGACCAAAAACTTAGTTGAGATACCCAACTAAGTACAGAATGCTTAATAAAGACATAGGGCAACAAACAACCAATCTCTTCCGAACAGTATTTACTTATTTATTTCTTGAATAAAAATTATGAAGTTTTAAAATATATTTGGACTTGAATGTTTTGAGTAACCTAGAATTTAATACTGCTATAACATTTTCTAGTTTGTAAATAAAATTTAAAATAAAATAGCATCTTGNTATAAGTTATATTTTATCTCAATAAGAAAATCTAGTCAACTACCTGGATTATATAAAAAAGTTCTGCTCTATTCATTCAAGCTACATATTCTGTTCACACCTTCTTTTTTGTTAAGGTAGGAAAATCATTCATTTTAAATACAGTATATCAAAATACCAAAATCTTGAATATAATATCAATAGTAACTTTTTTTATTGGCAGGCTTCTGCTTTCATATTTATTTCTAAAACATTATGAAGGAAGTGCTAAAAAGTTCAATTGGGTATATTATTATCTTCATCGAATTTGGAGGTAAGTTTTGTTATACTTCTTTCTATAAATATTATGGAATATATTAGAATATAAATCTAATAAGTTTTATATCAAACTGTGATCTTGTATATATAATTTAGGATCATTCATTGCCACTGTTGTGCAAATGTTATTGTAAATAAATCATACAATTAAAATTTTTAATTAAGATATTAAGTTGGATAATTCCAGATTAACTCCTATGTACATGATGCTCTTAGGATTGTACACGACAATTTGGCTGCGTATGGGTAATGGTCCTTTGTGGCCAAAAGAAGCTGATAATGGTAAATGTAAAAACTACTGGTGGCGAAATTTGCTATATATTCAAAATTTGGAAAGTGTATCAGAAATGGTAAATGTATAACAGTTTAGTGTGAAATTGATTTTTATTAAAATTTATTAAAACTGAAGAAATTTTATTATTTATAGTGCATGGCGTGGACGTGGTATTTGGCAAATGACATGCAGTTCTACATCATTAGTCCAATATTCTTGATCCTTTTATGGAAGTAAGATTTCAACATTAAATTAAACTTTAAAATAAATTGTGTTAATTTATGTTTGCATTTAATTCGTTTAGATTTCCTGTTATCGGTTTCGTAGTGATGTATGTCGCGTTGGGCATTTCTTCAATTACTACGGGAATTCTAGCTACGAACGACAATATAATTTCAATTTATTCGTGGATGGATGCAACTGGATCAGATGCACCAAATATGAAAACAGTGTAAGCTTATTTCATATTTAATGTCAATTTTTTATTACAAAAACACACCGGCATTTTAATTTGCTAATTTAGATCNGGGAAAGACCAAAAACTTAGTTGAGATACCCAACTAAGTACAGAATGCTTAATAAAGACATAGGGCAACAAACAACCAATCTCTTCCGAACAGTATTTACTTATTTATTTCTTGAATAAAAATTATGAAGTTTTAAAATATATTTGGACTTGAATGTTTTGAGTAACCTAAAATTTAATACTGCTATAACATTTTCTAGTTTGTAAATAAAATTTAAAATAAAATATCATCTTGGTTTTAAAAACTTTATAGAACTATAAACATCAGAATTTATAACTATTTTCCTTTACAAATATAGAAAAAAAAACAATTAGTTTATGAATAAATAGTGTTAACCATTTAGATATAATTTGAAAATAATATTTTTGAATTTCAATTAATTTAAAAATGTATAACTAAATGTGTTTCATAAAGTTATTAAATTATAAATTTTCTTACTTACAATGTTATTTATCTTCATTTTTATTATAAGAATTTTGTAAATAACTTTCAACATTAAGTAAAACTTGAAAAAATTCAAAATTTTATTTAATTTGAAAAGTTTTTCTATTCTTATCATTGTAATGAACTTATAATTTACAAAAAATGTTAATAATAATTTCTTTGAAATGAAATTTTAAGTAACCCTTTATTGCCTGACAGGACTTTCTGGTTCCACTATCTTTGAAATTTTTTTATTTCATTGTGTATGCATTATAGCTTACTGGGACTTACATTTTTTATTGTACAAAGTGTTGTTTTTCTCTTATAGGGGGTAGTAACTTTCAAACTGTTTCTGTTTTAGTTTTGTTGAAAACATTTCATATAATGTAGAGAAATTCTGTGGTTTGAATTGTAGAAGCTGATATTGCTTTCTTTGTTGCCTAATTCTACTTATTTCAAAGCTACTTGTCTTTGTATTTTTTTATATATATTCTAGATATGTGTAATTTGATTTTGATGTATTATGTTTTTAGAATTAATAGTATGTAAGCTGTAAGAGATTAAAATATGTTTGGGATTTATAAGTCCCATTAGGCTTGAGAGAAATTTATTTTGTAAATGTTAGCAATTTGTATTTGGTATAGCGTGCTTTATAGATTTATGAATTCATTTAATGTTTTAATAGTTAACATGGATAGAAGACTTATATATATGAATAAATAGATAATCTTTTATCAAAAGAATTTCCATCTGATATCAATACATATAAAAACCACATTCAAGATACACATTACATAAAGTTTAACTGTTGAATTATATAAGCTTTTTCAATGTTTATTACAAGCTAAGTATGAAGATCAATTTCTACATTGCAAAAAACAAAAAGAATTATTTATGAAACTGTCATTTGAAAGAATTGAACTAATTGATTTAGTATCTGTCAGTGTTCCATGTATCTGTGGAACAATGCCATATTTTCTTTTGAAAAATTTTTTAAATATAATTTCAAATATTTTTTAAAATAATTATTGTCATGCAAGAATATCAGCATTGAAAGATATGTCTGGAAGAAAAAGGAAATTACAAATTTACAATAAATCTGTAAATTAATTACTTTAAATATTTTACCTACACANTAAAATAATTGATTTATATATTTTTAGTCATTAAATAGTTGAATATGTATGAAAAACAAGAAATAATTATCAGTGTTTTGAAAAGAAAAATTAAATGTATAATTTTATAAAAGAATTTTATTTGAAAATGTTAAATTAATTACGAACGATTATTTATTCTGACATCTAGACAATGTCAGGTTGCAAATTTTTACTTATTTAATTTAAAATACAGTATATATACTCTGCCTGAAATTAGTAGTGGCTTGCCCCTGTACATCATACTTTTCCTTTAACAATAGAGTCGTGCCTGTCATCAATTAACTGCTTTCGGGGGAAGTTTTAAATTAAAAACACGTGACTTCCGGTTTTCATCGGAAGTTCTTATTTAAAATTTTATTAATATTTATTAAAAGACACTCTAACAGTTTCCTGTATGATATTTAAAGAATGAATAACAACCTTTTTAGATACCTACTCAGATTCTTAATGTTTAAATTTAACAAAAACGTTCACTTTGTAGATCTCAGCACAAAATTTTTACTAAGGTTTTGTTATATATCGGGTGGGCAAGCAAGAGTAGGTTTTGCAAAATGCATGGGAGCGCAGTTCTGTACTTTTTTATTCTGTACCGCGATTTTATTATATAATATAAAAATAATATAAAACAAATATTCATTTTTTTAAATAAACATATTTTCACAAAACTGTGGAAATAAAATTGTTAAAATAATAATAAAAAGTAGAAATTAACACTTTCAGCAAGAGCGGCATGTAACTCAAAAAGAGCCGCATTTGTCCATGTCTGTTATATATTTTTTAGAAATGCATTGTTTATCTGAAAACGACTTCTTGCCATTGTTTGCTGTGTAGTGACATAATTCAGAACTAATATGTAAACTAATGATTTTACAAATCTAATTATCTAATTACAGTCGCTATTCGAAAATAATCGTATAATCTAGTGAGAATTATTTTGCTGAATACAACTCCAATTTTTAATAAGTACAATTGGGTAAATATTTCTTTATGAATAAATGTAAATGTTCAGTTTTAAATTAAAAGCTTATACATAAACACAACATATATATTAGTTAATAAAACGATTCAATCGATTATATACTCTCACGAATCAAAAATTTAATCTAGAGTCTCGCATGTATATACAGTCATACCCCGACTTACGCGAACCCGGAGTTACGCGATTTTCAAATCTCGTCGATTCGTTTTTTGTTTCAGCGCCACGCAACTCTTGATTATTCACTCCCCCCACACTATTGTTCAGCTTAATGTTCGGACGTGTGGCGCGGAATCGACGCATAGCTACAATTTATTTTGTGTAATTTATTTCTGTTTGTTATATCTACGGAGACTCGAGAGACTCTATGTGGTGATTTCTTGTAACCGTGAACGAACCAAAAGGCGAGATAAGATTAACGAGAACATTTATTAGCTTACATACATCCGACTTGGATTTTACACAAAAGGCATCTGCAATCGTGAACAATTGACGAAAAAAGTATACATTTATCAGATAATAAACAAAGACTCATTTTGTAAACAATTTACCTTTTGTATATACAACTGACAAGATTACCTTTCAAATTATAAACAGACTCGATCCCAAGCGGTCTTTTGATCGTCGGACATACAAAAGAAATGAACAGATGGCGCCTAACTTAAGCGCGGTTTACAATAACGAATATGATTAATCTTAACACTCTACTATGTCATCCAAACGAAGTAGAACTGATTCTTCTGCATCAAACAAGAAAAGAAAAACTTTATCTTTGGAATGTAAAGTTAACATTATTAAAGACTTCGATACAAAAATGAAAATTTGTGAATTGGCAAAGAAGTTTGATCTACCGGAATCGACGGTCAGAACAATTATAAAAGGTAAAGAAAAAATTCTCGAAGCTGTAAAAAATGCTCAATCTTTAAATTCAAGCATCATTCGTAAACGTCACAGTATTATCGCTGAGATGGAAACAGTGTTAAAATTATGGTGTGATAAACAGGTAAATGTGAAAAATATATATTGATAATCAGGTAAATGTGAAAAATTATATTATTATACAATATGTGTTATCTAAGATTTTATTAAACATTTTTTTTCTAAATTATTGTTTTTTTAGTCTCCGGTCCGAATTAAAAATAATTTGTATGTATTTATATGCAAAATTATATCCCGACTTACGCGGTTATCGCTCGGTCCCACCTATCGCGTAAGTCCGGGGTATGACTGTATACTTAATATTTTAATATACAACATAAAGAAAAAACTAGCAAGAAAAATAAACACGGGGTTGACTAAAGAAAACAATATATATGCTTACTTTTTATCTAAATGACAAACTTCAAACGGCACACTCGATAGCACAAGGCACAAAAAACAAACCAAAATTCAAAAACTGAAAAACTTTGCAAAGGCAAATGGACTTCTACTATTTCAACCAGCAGCTTTATAGGAAACTACCCTGGCGGAATGTCTGTACAACTGCTGACCTCGATAACTGACTGATATTCGAACTTTTGTTTGATTGTCGCAGGGGCGGACTGGCCATGTGGAAAATTCCACATGGGCCGTTTTTTCTAAATGTGTACATAATGTACCGTTTGGTTAAGTTTAATTTTAAAAAATTCATATATTTTTTTTGTTAATTAAGGTGTATAATATGTGTAGGCCTGTATCATTTTACCCGGCCCTACCCGTATCCGAAGTTAAATTAGTTCTGCCGATCTGAGTCAAACACTACATTAGCCCAAACAGAAATCATCCTAGGAGAAAAATAATCAAAACTACCTTCTAAACAGAGAAAATTGGTCATTTGTTTACATTGCTAGAAACTATTCACAACTTCTATGAATCTTAATGCTAAACTATAAAAATGCGAGTTATTAGTTTTGTACCTAGCCACCAAAGCGATGATTGTAGTCATAACAAATTTAATTGCCACTTATATTATTTCCTTTATTTTAGGCAAGTAAAAAATGTTATTCAATAATAATTTCTCTATATTCCAAACGATTTAATTAAAAATAATCTATTTTGTAGTGTGAGGCCGGGACCTCATTCCCTTTCCAATAGGAAACTGGTTGTCAGCTAATAAAAAGGTAATAAATCGATGATTTATTTCGTAAACAAGAACGAGTGTAAGACGATTTAATTATCGTATTCCCGGACCAAATTCACACGTCTTCGATCTAGATCAGGGAAAGTGGGAGAGAGAGCAACCGGGAAAAGTTCGACTGCCATCTTACAGCGAGTTCAAAGCACATTAGACCAAAATTTACTGCACCGTCGCTAAATATTCCTGAAAACGCATTTCAAAAATTAAGCAGTATTTTAATACAGTTTAATCCAGTAGCTACTCAACACAATATTATTTCAGAATTGCAACATTTTAAATCGTCATGGAATATTTTAAAGAAAAATGTCAATGAAACTTTTATAAAATTAAACGAAAATGAACATTCTACCGATGATCAAGTAGAAACTAATAAAGATGCGATTTTATCCTCTTACTGCATTGCTTGCAAAAATTGCTCTATTTGTTGTTATAATATATTATTCAGATATAAC